GTGCTGCAATATATAATACATAAAACATAAGGGTTTTTCATATTTCACTCATTTTTGGATGTCATTTTTGCATATTATAATAATTATAATACTTATTATTATTATTATTATTATTATTATTATTATATAATAAGTTTGTGTTATCATATAATATAAAATCTATCTTATCTATTTTAAATTATTATTTTTGTTTTATTATTATGATTAGTAGTAGTATATTTGTAATATTATTATAGTATTAGTAGTATAATTTGTTTTATTATTTGTATTTTTTTTCCGTAGATGGTTGGTAAGAATTAATTCTGCAAATATAAAAACTTGAAAAAAAAACAGTGATGGATTCAGATTTGTATGTTGATACATATATGTTGATGAAAATCCCACAAAAATAAGAATCATAAAAAAAAACTGACCTCAAAGTTTCAAACCCTCCATGATCAATATGGCCATTGGGCTGTTATATGGCTCGCCACTGTAGGTTGGGGTCATCTCTAGTTCCCCTAGCCCACCTCAGAGACATTACCAATAACATGGACCTTAATCTTCCTCCTCACCAAACCTGGAAAAGCATTGCTTCACACAAAGTATGGGGGCCATATCATGAATGGCAAACACAGCTGAAGGACATACATGGGTGACAGAGTGGAGTCTGAATAACTGCCTCGCGGTAAATGAATAGCACATAGTCCCTCTCAGTCGGTTTGAGGAGCGATCGGATGAGAGCTGAGAAATGACACACAGAGAAGCCCTAATCTGTGACTGACACACTGATCTCAAGGACATACAAGGGAGAAGAGACGGCAATATGTAGTCGAGTCAAATTGGTGTAAAGTAGGAGAAGTTGTCATGATAAATGAACATAACCAACCTCAGATAAGCGACCATTTTACTCTGTAAGTGTTTCCTGTGCACTGGTTTTTTAACTCATTTCAACACGAATAGATAAGCAACAGAAAAATTATCGACTTAGAATGTAATTTTGTATGTAATAATAACAGATGATGCTCTTTTTAGCCTCTTAAATATTGATAATGCTTTATTTGATGGTTTCAATAGCTTAAGTATCTAACCTTTTTCTAAGCCACTCAGATTTAATGTATATTCAAACAAAAGAAAATGCAGATTTTCTGTTATATGGAGATGCGTGATATTAGTGCAAGAGAAAATTGGTAAATTCAAAATATATAGATCTTACATTTTTCTTTTGCATTGTCATTAAAAATGTACATTTAAAATCATACTTTACATAATTTAGAATTGTTAAGGCTTTTGAAAGATTGATTTAAGATATTTAACTACTAATTAAGTCCTTATTTTAAGATAATTAAATGTAATTCCTTACTATAACTATAAGCATCAGTTAACACTTTTATATCAAATAAATATTCGGTTTGCACTGACAAATAAAATGGATTTAAAGACCTCCCCCTGGACTGTTTTTCCCCCCCAATACTCTACATCTACACAGCAGCACGCTACAAGTGACTGCACAGAGCACACACTGGTAGCTTGCTAAGCATATGAGGCAGCGGAGCAGAACAACGCACGCCTCCACAATACATTTCTGAGGGTGCACGCTTTGAAAATCGCTGAGGTGCAGAAACACTTTCATTTTGCAGCTGAAACACAGCCCGAGGAGAACGGGAATCCTTTCGGAGTCTCTTCTCTCATCCTGTTTTATGTTCCCCTCTGTTGCCTTGGCTGTGCTGACATTTCTGTATGTTACCATTGAAAAAGAAAGCTGTTTTTCTTCATTACTTTCCGCTGGTGTTTGCCAGAGATAAGCTCTGCAAAGAGAGTCTCTGTCTACATGTATAACACAGAGTATACAACTGAGGGACATCCATCTCTCTTTATGGCTTGTCCACAACTTTAAACACAAGCATGCGTTTCCGGACACTTCCTGTCTCCTCTCAGCTGCAGCCCTGGCACGGCGCCCTATCCTAGGGCAGCGCGAGCCGCCAGATTGATCCGGCTTTAATGAAGAGTCCTTTGGCCTAGGTGACATCATTAGCTGCGTGTGGGCCACCGCGAGGCCACTTGGCACGGCTCCCCTGCTTCTCTTCTGGGGAAATGGGTCAGCGTGAGTGACAGGCAGAGAGACGGCGGGCCAGAAGAGAACACGGAGAGGGTGATGCCCTTCACACACCTGTGTTCACAAAGTAATCTGTCTCTGAAACAAAAGCGCTTCTGAAGAGCTCTGAGCAGTTTTAAAAAAAACTAATTTGGATGCTTTTCAATCCCTGGGTCGAATGGAGATTGAAAAAGAGTCCATGACTACAGATGGGTACAAAAACCAGGTATTCATCTGGCAAGGGGATATCTCTTTTAAAAGCTTTAGTAGTGATACGGTTTGATGGTACAGGTTGTTGTATTGGTGCTTGTATGGTGTATTGTCATGTATAACTGTGCACAAATACTACCACAGGGAACATTGTAAATATTTAACTCCTAAATCTCCTAAAGTTAATAATGATACAAAATCAATTCCCAGAAAGAAACTAATCCTCACGACAACCATCCCCACCTCTGACCTATGTGTACTGTAATTCAACAGATTTGGCATCAAACTGGACTAAAGCCACACTCATAAGAGAGTGTGTGAACGGGGGTCAAACTGCATAAAACACTCTTTTCTTTTGCTCGATCACAGCACTGTAGGAGTTCAACCCAGGTCAGTATAAATAATGCAAGCCTTAGATGCTGCATTTGAAAGTGCTCTATGATTAATAGTGACCTAATGCCGGATAAAACGAGAATATAAATTGACCCTGATGTGATACAGACTTGGATATAAAACTAACGTTATCGCGCTTTTCTTCTCTTGCACTCTCTCTATGTCCACTAGTGGAGAATGAAGGGGAAATCAGCTTTGGAAGAAATCTGGAGGCTGCAGATCCATCTCATCCGTCTATCTGTCAGCATCTCAGCAGGCACAAAAACACCAAGCATGTCCCTGCTCTCAACTCCTCTCCTCTTACACACACATATATATGCAGACGCAGACACACACCCCCCCACGGCACAGTGGCTAAACATTGTCATTTTAGCACAGCAGCTGTTTTCCCAGGTCATAAAAGCAACAGCCCCTCGAGCGCTATGCTCCCTCCTCCCTCATTTCCTCACTCTGTCCACAGTGTCCAAACGGTGCATACCTCCCAGGCTGATGGTGTAAAGTGCACTAACTCTCTATGCACAGCCTGCAGCACACAGTGTGTGAGTCTGCGTGATGTTTCTGCCGTCTTTGAACTTTGAACTAGCAAATATGAGCCCAGGTGCAGATAATGCGAGTCAGAATTGCAGAATGAACAAAAAAATAACATCATCAAAGCTGAGGAGTTGTAAATAAGAGTGACTTGTGAAAGGATCTTTATGTCATTTTAAGTCGTTGTTTTCAACTGTTCATATAGTAAAATCAGGGTTTCTACAACCATCAAAGTCAAGGACCTTTCAAAGACCTTCCAGGTACAATTCTGTCCAAGTATTTAAGACTTAAGAAAACACACTTCTTTATTCAATTACAATTGTTTCATAATGTAAAAGATGTTTACAATTTGTTTGGCCCTTAATTCAAGGACTTTTTAAATACTTTCCAGGCTTCATCTCCTAAAATTCAAGGATCCAACGTAATTCATATAAATAAATGAATATTTAAGCACCTTCAGTCACCATTATGTCTATCTTCCAAAACGTTCTAACTTACTACACTTAAATTAATACAAAAAACAAAAACATAAAAGGTGTTGTCCGTGACCATACCGTGTACGTCTTAAGAATGAGGGCGGAGTCTCTCTGATTTCTCGCAACCAATAGCGATATTGCTTCAAAGTTTCCATGGCAACCTATTATCCTGAATCCTGACCCCCCTCTCATCCACTTACCAATCCCCCAGATGCCTAATTGTTTCCCTAATGATGCTAGGCCTAATGGGACTGTTTATGGTATTCATTTGATAGCACTGGCCCAGTAATTAGACTGCACCTCACTTCATTAAACAGCAAAGGGGAGGGGGGGGGGGGATGCCTGGTGGAACGTACAGTATACACACGGCACAAGTGCATTCTGTCCTGATGACACACACACACACACACACACACACACACACACAGACCTGGGAGAGCAGTGCGTTCCAGAGGACTGCTGATGGTACTTTACATTCAGAGTGCTGCTCATTTGCCTCACACACATTTCCTCCCACAGTCAATCCTATATACCTCTTATCATTAGCGCTCTTGTACTGTATAGTGTTGCAATGTGCGGGCAAACAGCTACAATTAATATTCAAGAGCGATCTGAATTCTAAACACATCACAGGCCGGTTACATTTTGTAACACACTGCAAAGACAACATCGAACAACCATGCCGTGAATGCAAATGTGAAAATGTCCGACTTTTGGCTCTTCAAAGACTTATCTAACTTTTTTGTAAGTAATCACAATCATCTGAATCAGAATACTTAATAATTCATCCCAGGAATCCCAGGGAATCATATTAATGAGTTGCTTAATGTTTGAATAAATAAATACATAAATGAATAAGTGGAATACAAATAGTAAAAATGTGCAATATGTAAAATAAATCAAAAATGTATACAAAAGTTAATTATGCAAATAGATTGTTTTCAAAAGCTTTTGACAGATTGATTTAAGATATTCTAATACAAATTAAGTCCTTATTTTAAGATGAATAAATTATTTTATATCACATTAAAATTAGATATTGATATGTCACCATCAATACAGGGCTTTTAACAAACCTTTCCACCAGTAACAGCATGATTTGGTTGCACCCCTCTTGTGCTTACGACTGTTTCTCTCTGTGTCTCTGTCCATGGTGCTGAAATACCACAGTTTCCCACTCAAACACTCATCTTTCTGTCTGTCTCTGTCCATGGTCCTGAAATCCAGTATTAGTCCTCTCCACAGTGTCGAAGCATTCTTTCTTTGCCTCTATCCACCCATAAAGTTACATCATGCAGTCGTGGGTTGGATGTTCTTACCTTGAGGAAGGAGAGGTTGCGGTTCCGATCGATGCTGGTGATCTCCAAGTTGCCCATGACCACCTCACAGTTCTCGTAGAGCTTCTTCAGGGTGCGGTACTGCAGGTCCAGGTCCGACAGAGTACTCAGCTTGTTCTCAGTGCCGGGACAAACTGGAATGGGAGACAGAAATAAAATGACGTCAATTTAGCACGCAAACGTTTGGCTAAAAACAACAAATTGTCAGAAAAGGGAATACAAAAATGTAGACGGTAAATCAGTCTGAAGGGAGTTGGCTTGAGATGTAAACGGCCGCCGGTTCAAGTCCCAATCAGACCAAAGTGTGGATTGGTGTATGTTTAGGATTGTGAGAATTGTGCATGTGGTCAAGTGTGTATTTTGCCCTATGTGTGTAGTGTGAATAACTTAATCTCCCCTCAGGGATTAATAAAGTATGGCTTTCTTTTTAGTTTAATTACATTATTTCTAAGTGGTACATTTGACAAGAATACATCTCTTTTCCCTCGAAAACTCATTTTCCTTGACTCCACTTACAGAGATATAACACCAGACTGTACATGCATGCTTCAATGACTACTGTAGAGCAGAGTCTCGAAGAAATGTTAGAATCAGTCTGATAATGAATGGAGAATAATGGGCAAGAAAAGACAAAAGGAGAGAGATTCCGGCAGGGGGGGGGGGGAGGGATTTCCGGATGAAAACCATGCGTGAGAGACAAACAGAAAGGGAAGAGATGAAGGACAGAGGAAGTGGTTGTAGAGGAAGAATAGGTCGGGAGATTACGTAAATTGCTAAAAGGAGGGCAGACGTGACCCTTGACAATGATGGAAGCTCAGACAGAGGAGACTTTGGGAGGAACAAGTGGGGGGGGGGTGAGAGGGGCGGATATCATTTCTCCGAGGCACTGACCTACAGTATGGGTCTGGCACCGGCACACCGTTTAATCAAAGATATTCAAATTGCATTGGATGACCTTTACAGAGGGGTTTCACTCGGAGACTTTAAACGCGGCTGACAACATTACAAGACTTTGAAGATATTATGGAGAGCACAAACTGCTCCATTGGTGTGTGGGAAGGAAGGGCAATTAGAAAGTTGTAGATTTTCAGCCAACCACAATAATTATGTAAGCACAGGAACACAGATATTGCTTCCAACACCCTCAGGCAAACATGAGTTTACCAATCCATGCTAATGGCATGAGATTTACAGCACATGTATACAGACCTGTGCTTGTCATTTCAGCCAATTAGGAAGAAATGTACTTGTAAATGTTCTAATCGAACACAGACGAATAAACGACTCCAAGAGGGAAGATCTCCTCCAAGGCCAAATGCACTGCTCACAATGTTCAAATGTGGGAGAACTATTTTTCTATCAGCCCTTGATTGCATTTGGGCCCAAAATGTTATGAGGTACTTCAGGGTCCACGCTTCATTCGTCCACCAGACTTAATGAAAAACCGACCGTTGTTCTTTTTGTATTTCTGCTGACAAACAGAAAATGCGGAGGAAAGTCTGTAATGTGTCCCATTGTAGTACAGGTCTTGATGCTGTGAAAAGACATCTGTAAACTAAAACTACCGCCTTTTGGAGAAGTGTTGGAAAAAAACATGTTATCCTTCTTTAAAAGCAACTGTTAAACTGCGCTTGAGAAATTCACAAAAGCCAATGAATGTTCTTCATGGCTGAACAAAACTAGTATAAAAAATAAACTCTAGCAACATGGTACCTTTGAATCCTGACCTTAATATATCTTACCAAAAACGTGAGACAAGAATTCTGTAAATGCATGGCAGCGGACTAATGCAGCAGCTACCACTGTAATTAGTTCCTGGTATTCCCACCCATCAAGCGCTCTCCCCCCCCCCCCAGGCTCTCCAGCAGTCAGTCAGTCAGTAAGCTCCCCTGCCTCCGTCTTGCCACCATCTGCTCCGTTCAGCTGGCACCGTCGCCACCTTACCGCGGGCACGACCGGAGGTTTGTGTGCACCGGAATGGAGTTTGGCTCAATGTAATTAAACTGCTCATTAAAGTTTGTCAGCGGTTCAACATTTCACCTTCTTTTGATATAATATAATAATTCCTTCGGGCTTAACATGCTGAGCCAAACCTTATTCAAACTTTAGGGAATTAAGATAACGTACAAGAGAAATATGATTAGAATATTTCAGCTTAGAAAAAGTGAATACAAAAGGAAAATAATTACAAGGTGCTGGATTATTTAAACAACATTTGTTGGGTGCTACTTTCATGATTTAAACATGTTTTTAAATATAAAGGTTATTGGCAGCACAGGGCACCCATAGTCAAGAAAATACTTGCAAACGGGTGCAATGTCTTCCTTTGGATAAAGACACTATAATTGCATTTATTGTGTTTGTGTAAACTACAAAAGCAACAACAACAACACTTGGTACGAGTTGAGTTTGTTTTGAGGCTAGAGAAGAAGCGTTCTTCTTTGTTCGTATTACATTGAAGAGATGTACTTTGCCAACTCACTGCTCATGGGCACGTCTTTCTTTCCCAGGGTATCCTTCGGCAGCTCCGATATTTCTTCTTTTCACCCCGCCAATGTTAAACTACTCCACCCTCAAGGCTCGCTGCACATGTTTGGACCATTTGTGCAGCTGTGTGTGCTTGAAATGAACTATCATTATTATAGATTCTATTCAGCTTCAAAGATAGTTAACAGAAAATGTTTGGATTCCATTTAGAGGGTATTATATGTTTTCGGCCTTTTATTTACTTTTGCACTGCATTGAAATGATAACCTGCAATGCAAAATAGCTAAATAGAGCCCTTTTAAGTGAACTTAACACTATGTCATACGATGTTGCCCAAAGTACACTGGTTTCAAACGTGTAGCCTGTGGATATTTTTTTCTCTTTTTTCTCAAAGCAATGATAAACCTGCGAGTTGGATGTAGAAAAGTCCGAATCAATATAGAATGCGCGCAGTTTGCCCAAACCGAAAGCTATGTTACGCTCTGAAAACTGAAAAATAGGCTTATTGCTGATGCATTATCAGTAATCATTTCAAAGTGACACAGACACATTGGATTAACCTATGGATTAACCTTCAGCAGCGTTTTTCTCGTTTGAATGCCATTGAACACAACTTTTGATCAGAAACCGCAAAAGGTAAGACTCTTTTCCGCGTTTCCTCCGTAAAGCTTCGTGGTGTCTGGGTTTGTTTCCCCTGTCGCGAGTTCTGATCACTCGGTGAGGATACTTATATTTCTAGAATCTGTGGAATCTCAGCTTGCTAATCGATATCTTGTTTGTGCAGATCCGATAAGTAATAAGGGTATTTATACCGTGGGTTCTGTGCTAAATGCGTTAGCATTTCTTCGCTCAGGGCTCATTTAGACGCTTCTTGTGAGACTTGTGTTTTGTTTCGGTAAAAATGGTTCGTATCGTCAGGGTTAGGGTTAGGGTTAGGTGGGTATGACACATTCATAGTTTGTTAAATATTAAGAAGCCCCGAGACACAGTTTCGTGAAAAGAACGAAGAGATATACAAGATATTAGTTATGGCTATTGTTCATGCTGCCAAAGTTTACAATTCCCACATCCAACTCCTAGAATAAAATAAGACAAGAGAACAAATGCAGAGAAAGATAACTATAGCATAGTTGAACCGGCCCATATATTGAGCAACATTGAGAGCTCATAAAGTCCCATATTGCTTTATAGATCGTCGGCTCTGCAAAGATGAGTGTGCTTTCCTCTCCTCTGTGATCCTCCATATTGCTGTGTGGGACACAATGGCAGTGAGGGGACCAGAGCTATGGTGATAAATGAGATTTGCTGACCGCACACACAGATGAATTATTAGATGAAATGATTTAAGAGCGGCTACAAACTTAAAGGAAGTCTACAAGGAGCTAAAATTGGTCCGATCGATGCACGTGTGTGTGAGGAGTTCCTTCTAGCGTGTGTGATGAAAGGTTAGCGCGCGTCTGTAATAATCTGTTATTGAAACCTCCTTGCGGTGTGTGTGTGTGTGTGTGTGTGTGTGTGTGTGTGTGGGTGTGTGTGTGTGTGTGTGTGTGTGAGAGTGTAATGCCTGTGAGTGGTGATAAAAGATCAGAGGGGAGAAATAAGGAGAAAACAACTCTCCAAAGCCAATATCGGCCACACACACACACACACACACACACACACACACACACACACACACACACACACACACACACACACACACACACACACACACACACACACACCACACACACACACACACACACACACACACACACCACACACACACACACACACACACACAACACACACACACACACACACACACACACACACACACACACACACACACCACACACACACACACACACACACACACACACACACACACACACACACACACACACACACACAGAGAGATATAGAGAAAAGAGGCACTCATTCAGGGTTATTATCAATGTAAATAGAATTGATGAGAGATAGAAAGAGAGACACAATCGTGTATTTGGTAGAGTGGGAGCGACGTCCAGGAGCATTAGCATTCATATCGACACGCTCTACTGTAAATGCTCTTTTCTCTGGGCTCATTTTGAAAGTGTCTGGATCCATCTGCTCTACCTCTTTCTCTTTCTCCCTTTCTTCATTTCTTTTTCTCTGCCTTCAGCCATTTATTTCTCCATCTCTGCCCTCCCTCCCTCCCTCCTTTCTCCTCTCTCCCGGGCTCGGCGGCGGCGGCGGACAATGTAAGTATTGAGCCGTTGCCTTTTTTCCCCCCGATAATGCATCGGGTGACACAGGGCCATGTCCACTGCTGACAGCTCCAGTGTGTGTGTGTGTGTGTGTGTGTGTGTGTGTGTGTGTGTGTGTGTGTGTGTGTGTGTGTGTGTGTGTGTGTGTGTGTGTGTGTGTGTGTGTGTGTGTGTGTGTGTGTGTGTGTGTGTGTGTGTGTGTGGTGTGTGTGTGTGTGTGTGTGTGTGGTGTGGGGGAGCAGATATCTGCCAATCAGGACAAAAGGCACTATCTTTACAGTCTTTGAGGAGACAGGAAAGGAAACTTGGCCTCCAACCTTTAGTTATATTAAAGGCCGGTACAAAAGAATAAAAGACTGTCTTTTCACCAAAGGATTTCCTTTTTGCCAGAATACAAGCTTGGTTTCTTGACAGTTATG